CCATGTCTTGAGGGCGCGACGGAAGGTAAGGAGATCCGGAATTATCCGGATCTCGGGGGGTAGTTCATTCCAGAGGGTAGGGGCACCCACAGAGAAGGCCCTCCCCCTGGGGGTCGCCAGCCGACACTGCTTGGCCGACGGCACCCTGAGGAGACCCACTCTGTGGGAGCGTACCGGTCTGTGGGAAGGAATCTGCGGCCTGGCTGAGGAATTCTGGGAGTTGAAGTCCACAAGTCATAAAAGGGCCAAGTTGGAAGACCCCTGATTTGAATAAATGAAAAACCCTCAAGGCTGAAACCTCCAGACTGTTTATTTCACTCGCCTCCCATTCTTTGTCTGCTCCAAATGATCTGTAATCCACCTATCACTTTGTTCGCAATATAGGAGACTTGGCCAAGGCACAATTGAAGAAATTAAATTTTGAACAACAACCCCCCCCCCAAAAAAAACCCCAGTGTTTCACAATCTCAACTTAAGATGTGTGGCCTTCAACTCCCAGAATTCCCCAGCCAGCTAATTCTGGGAGTTAAAGTCCACCTATCTTAAACTTGCTGAAACACTGTTCTAGAACAAAGCAAGCATTTTCTATCGTTGGTTCATTAATCAGACTTTCCTGCTTTTCACCTTGGCTCCAAATACTGTTTATTAGCAATAGCAAAGCTTTATGGGGTTTTTTTTTTTAAAAAGTAAACAAAAGAGTAAAATATTTTGTCAGCTCTGTTTGGAAGTAACTTTTGCGGAGATCGGACGATTCGTTTCGAAGCGAAGCAGGCTAACCTCATCTGAACCACATTCAAACCCAAGATGGCCTATTGTTCTCTTCCAGATGCTGTGACTAAACTCCTAAGAATGCAAGGGAACTGCTCCCTCTGTGAAAAGGGCCCTACCTGAAACCTAAGTTTGTTTAATCGAAGCTAGCAAGATTCTTCTCGTTTCTGCTTGTCTTTAGAGAAAAATTCAGATGCCTTTTTCCAGGTAATGAGCAAACACTTTAAGGAAAAAACTGAAGCTTATTGTTTACTGACTCCAAAGATGTTTTTTTAAAAAAAATCCCTACTCTTTATGGCCTTTGGAAATAATGACTTAACAGTTGGCAGACGATCAAAAAGCTCGTGCAGATTCTTCCTTCTTGACGCATAAGCCACACAAGCATTGCCCAGAGAACACATCTGCACAGGCGTTCACAAAAGCCATGGACGTTCTGGTGATAATTTGGGAACACTGCTATTATTTACTGAGGAAGCTGCTCAGAACCAGTTTTGCTCGGCTTGGAAACCAGAAAAAAAAATACACCGAGATTGCCTCAACGCTTAAGAGAGATATCCGAAGTATTAGCACCAGGGAACTCCCCCCTGTGCTAATTGGGGTTTGTCAAACAAGTGTTCTGGTTTGTTCCATATATTATGCTGAACTATAAACCAGGTCTTACAAAAGGAATAGAAGGGGCTGCCACAAGGCAGAGGGGGCCAAGTTGTTCACCAGAGCACCAGAGGGCAGGACGAGAAACAATGGTTGGAAACTGACCAAAGAGAGAAGCAACCTGGAATTAAGGAGGAACTTCCTGACAGTGAGGACAATCAACCAGTGGAACAGCTTGCCACCAGAAATCGTGGGCGCTCCATCACTGGAGGTTTTCAAGAAGAGACTAGACCACGGGCAGGAACCTTGGCTCTTTTATGACTCGTGGACTTCAACTCCCAGAATGGCTGGCTCAGGAATTCTGGGAGTTGAAGTCTACGAGTCATAAAAGAGCCAAGGTTGCCTACCCCTGGACTAGACATTCACCTGTCTGGGACAGTAGAGGTTCTCCTGCTTAAGCAGGGGGCTGGACTAGAAGACCTCCAAAGTCCCTTCCAGCTCTATTCTATTCTATTCTATTCTATTCTATTCTATTCTATTCTATTCTATTCTATTCTATTCTATTCTATTCTATTATTATTCTATCCTATTCTATTATTCTATTCTATTATTCTACTCTATTATTTTCTATTCTATTCTATTCTATTCTATTCTATTCTATTCTATTCTATTCTATTCTATTCTATTCTATTCTATTCTATTCTACTAATTCCATTCCATATATTCTATTCTATTCTATTCTATTCTATTCTATTCTATTCTATTCTATTCTATTCCATTCCATTCCATTCCATTCCATCCCATTCCATCCCATCCTTCTCATCAGACATGGTCCATCTAAGCTAGTTTTACCAACATAGACCAGGGTTGTCTGACTGGGGTCATGGGCCAGTTTTTTTCCCAGACTACCCATTTGAGAACTCCGCGACCTCTCAGCCACAAAGCTGCCCTTGTCGGTTCAGTGAAAATTTACATCACAAATGCCATCTTGTGAAAGGAAACTCTGTTGCATCAGCTCTCTTTGCAGGCTACAGTGGCTCATTGTTCCTTTCACCCAAACTGGAACAAGAGGAGAAAAGGGTCAAGGCTCTGAGTAGCAATGCTGGATTTAAAAAAAAAAGAAAAAGGTTTGATCTTTTGGAAAGATTGAGGGGGGGGGGTTTGGCCCATTTCTTTTTTTTTAAACTCCAGGGAAGCTCGTTGTGCACGCTTTCTATTACCGCAACCCTCGCTCAGAACCTATGGGGCTTTCTCCCTATCCATGTTTCCCAGAAAATAAGACTGGGTCTTATATTAAGTTTTGTTCCAAAAGAGGCAGTAGGGTTTATTTTCCGGTTAGGGTTTATATTCGGGGAAATACGGTACTAAATGCGTCGGTCTGGCTGATGTTCTTAACTGGGGCTTATTTTGGGGTGGGGCTTATATTACGAGCGCTGGCTGGGGAATTCTGGGAGTTGAAGTCCACAAGTCTCGAAGTGGCCAAGGTTGGACATGGCTGGCTGGGGGATTCTGGGAGTTGAAGTCCACAAGTCTCGAAGTGGCCAAGGTTGGACATGGCTGGCTGGGGGATTCTGGGAGTTGAAGTCCACAAGTCTTGAACTGGCCAAGGTTGGACATGGCTGGCTGGGGAATTCTGGGAGTTGAAGTCCACAAGTCTTGAAGTGGCCAAGTTTGAGGAGCCCTATACTAGAATGAAGGGATTGGACAGGATGAGGGGACTTCCCTCCTCTCAGCCCAGCCTACTTCACAGGGCTGTTGTTCTGGGAATAAATTGGAGATGGAATTGTGCTGCCTAGAACTCAAGAGAGGGAAGGCAAGGGAGATGTGAAACGTGCCTTCACACTTTGGGCTAAGTCCGGAGCTTGTTATAAAGTGGGTGTGGTAAAATAAAATTAATAATAAAATAAAAATAAAAGTAAAAATAAAAAATCAAATTAAATTAAATTAAAAATAATAATAATAATAATAATAATAATAATAATAATAATAATAATAATATAATAAAATAAAATAAAATAGGTTAAGTGTGATTCTGAGGGAACTCAGCCCCCCCCCCCCGGTTTGTTAATTATGGGGGGGGCACATCCAATTGATGGTGGCTTAATAAGCCCAAAATAGCTCAGTCTGATAAAGGCAGCCCTCAACTTACAACCAAAATTACAATGGTGCCGAAAAAAGTTGACTCAGAATTGGTCCTCACACTTATGACTGCGACAGTTTCCCCGCAATCATGGGAATCAAAATTCGGCAACCAGCATGGATTTGCAATGGTTGCAGCATCCTGGAATCCCGCGATTGTCATTTGTGACCTTCCCAGTTGGCTTCTGACAAGCAAAGGCAACCGGTGAAGCTGATTCGCTTAATGACCACAGCAAAAAAAAGGCCATTCAATCAGGCGTGACTCATTTTACAACTGCTTCGTTTAGCAACAGAAGTTACGACCCCAACTGTGGTCGTAAAGTGAGGACCACCTGCATATGAATCCAGCCTAAGAGTGGGGGCAGAGAGAAAGGAAGCGGGGCGAGGACGAGCCAAGTTGCTCAGTGGAAGCCACTACCTTTCTTTTCTCCCGTGTAAGGCACAACTTCCTCGACGTCTTTCTGCTCCAGGGCTTGTTTCTCCAAAAAGGAAAGCAGCTTCTCTCGGTCAAAAGGCCCGCCGGGTTTGTTCACAGTCTGGTCCTTCTGCCGGAATCCCGCTGGCAACAAGGCATTCTGTGAAACGAAAGGAAGAGGTGAATCTTCTTCCATTCCCGCGGGGAGTGAACCAAAGGGCCAGCCTTATTCTGAGGCTGCTCAGTATATAAAGCCTCAAATGTATCATGAGAATGAATTGGAATCAGAGGCTTTGGTGCCGAGGAAATATCTCCTACCCATTCTCACTGGCAGGCCGACAGAGGCATTCATGAAATGTAATGTGTCACGGTAATGATTTAAAAGCTAACCAGCTGATGTAAGATGTAATGTTGGGAATGAATCAGCAGGGTCTGTGTCCCTTTAAGAGCCAGCTGAATCTGTATCTCTTTTAGGAGCCTTGTATAAAAGGGAAGGCTCCACAAATGTGTTCTCTCTCTCTCTTCTGCTTCCTGCTGTAACTGCTGTGTATTGGAGACTGCTGTATTAACAGGTGTATGTATATTGTTCCTGGTGTATGATATTGTAGCTAGTGTAAGATAAACCACCATTTAATATAGACCAGTGTTTATTCCTCGGTTATCTCAGCGCAATAAGACTGTGCATGCTCTGACATAATGCCATTCCAGATGTTGCTCAATCATCGCTTCCAACAGACAACATGGTCAATGATGAGAAATGCCAGGCATTGTAGTTCAACCACAGCCAGGAGACCACAAGTTACCGTGTGCTTTTCAGAACTACCAGGCGTGAACAATCAGATTCACATTTGTAGAGTTCAAACTAGCTACTTCATTGTTCTCTGCCTATAATACAGGAATCTCCCCAGATTGGCAGCTTTCATCTGGGAAAGAGCAGATAAGGCTGTAAGGCACAGTTTCTCAACTTTGGCAACTTTAAGACGTGTGGACTTCAAGTCCCAGAATTCCCCAGACAGCATGGGGAAATCTGAGAATTGAGGTCCACACATCTTCAATCTGCCAAGGTGGGAAACCCTGCTCTACGGGATTTAAGTCAGAGCTAACTCTCTTGTGCTTACATAGTGAGTCTAGGCTGATTCCTCACTTGAACCCTTCTTCCATCCAGAAACCTATGGAAACACTACGGAAATGCTAACAAAGCATTGGAGCCACATGTACGCACCTCTGGATCAAGGTCATCCAGGACAGTTTCCAGTTGCTTCAGTTCTTCTTCAGTCAACTTGCCCAAAATTTCATCTTCATCAAGTTCCCTGTATTTGTCCAAGTCTTTCCGGAAAGGGAGTGCCATCACTCTGGCAGACCAATGTTGAGTAGCTTGAGCAACTAATAGCAAGACCAAGGTCTTAGCTTTGAGTTTTTAACTGGAAGGACAGAAAGGGGAAAAATAAATGTACTCATAGTCTTGAACATTTTGCAAAGTTCCGCGAACTGAGTGTAATTCACATGAGCAACTCGTCTGAAGGTGCAAGAGAAGTTATCTACAACTGCTTAACGCTATGCTGATGGCTAAGTATGCCCCCCAAAACTTAAGGTGATGCACAACAGTTATTGGATGATGGACATGTATTTATCCCAAGCATTATTAACATGCATCTAGAACAGCCTTGATAAACTTTAAGGTGTGGGACTTCAACTCCCAGAATTCCCCCGTCAGCCACGGAGAAGATGTTGGCCTTCTAGTTCAGCCATCCCAGAATGTTCTCTCACTAAAAAGCACACATTTCCTATCAACCTTCTCCAACCTGGCTCTCTCTCAATATTCATTGCACTTCCTGTTATGTCAGCCAGGGATTCTGTACAGTATCACACAGGGAAACGGATGTTGTATAGGAGAGCCAGCCAAGTCTTTGGCTCCACAAGTCCAGTCAACATCATAATCAACTCTGGTGCTCTTCAGGGCAACACAAAACACTTCAAGTTCTGTGGAGACTTTGGTGCAGTCTGAACTTGGTTGTTTTCTTGCAGATGTTTCGTTACCCAACTACGTAATGTGATCAGCGCTAGAAGGGAGCGGGGGGGGGGGGGTTGCTCTTATTTTTATATACAACTGGTTTGCCTAGTCACCGTTGTTGGAAGTATTCTTGGTGGTTCCTTGAGTAGGCTGTTGCTTAATGCAGGGGTCTCCAACCTTGGCGACTTTAAGACTTGTGGACTCCAACTCCCAGAATTCTTCAGCCAGCCATGCTGGCTGAGGAATTCTGGGAGTTGAAGTCCACAAGTCTTAAAGTTGCCAGGGTTGGAGACTCCACATTTAATGTTAGCTTGTTCATCTCTGTTGGTACCAAAACACCCTCCGCCCCAGCAAGCAACACACACACATGAGCAGAGATTAATAGGAAGATTAACACTAGACCAACAACCAAGAAGTAAACAACACCCCAATCAAGGAACGACCAAAGCAATATAATGGCTTAAAAATGGAAGCACCCCAATCTTGCAGACAGTGAGCCCGCCAGACTTCCTGCCCTTGCCCACAAGTGTTTTTCTCCTCTTCCTGAACCTACTGTTCAGCTCAAGCCAGTATCTCAAAAGAAAACGGCTTCCTGTGGTTAACAGGCATGGCACCACCATTAGCTGTCAAGCTGTGCCCTGTCTGTGCCAAGCCCCCATTGTGTGTGTGTTCCCCTCCCCTCGAGCATCAGGGCATATGTTTTTAGAATCACAGAAGATCACAGTACTGGTGGGCGGGCGTGCACCACGGAAAAGACCTTTCAACAATGGGTTGGACACACACACAAGAACAATTCTGTTCTCTTCGATGAGCGAGGGTTGCCAGCGGGAGTTTCGTCCTAAGCCAGTCTAAAGAAAACACTCAGTTATATCTGGAACTGGCTCAGTGTGCAAAGTTGTTACTCCTCGGCAAATTTGGCACCTCTGATTGGTTCCACCGAATGAGGCTTTGGAAGTTCTCCAGAAGAAGACATGACGGCTACTGCCCTACCACAAAGCCCAGCCATGTACTCCCTCTGCTCCTTCCCCCCCCCCCGTGTTCCTCCCTCTTTGGCGTGTGGGTGTTACTGGCCCAACACACAGAGAAATGGGTGGCTGGCTGTTTTTGTGCAGTTCCACGCCATGCTGAGCCGCAACCACCTACAAACGAGTCAGAGCATGCTGTGCTTTGCAAATCGTCCTGGATAAAATCATTTGGAAATAATTCCGTTGCTAAGCCAGACTCCGCAAGCCTTTCTTCTCGATAAATAGGCATCAATCCAGCCTGACTACAACCGTAGACTCTCCTGTTTCTCCACACTGGGTTGATAACACTCACCAGATGATGGTGTGTTGGGAGTACTACAGGCTGACTTTTAAGCCAAATTAGCCTGGCCTAATTATAAATAGAGCAGACAGTACATCTGGTTGATCTCACCAAAGAATAATAAGCAGAAGCAGATTGATTAGCATATAGTGTTTCTCAACCTTGCTAATTTTAAGACCTGTGCACTTCAACTCCCAAAATTGCCCAGTGCTTGGACGACATTAGAAAATGCTAGGATTGGGAAATTAAAACCAAAAACCCAAGGCATCCTGCAAGGTGGCAGTGGTTTAAAAAAAAAAAAATCCACGTTTTGCCAAGTAAACAAGGAAGTCTCACTGTTGGAAATCCAGAGGCATGAAGACGGCCCATGGAAAAAGTAGGAAGAGACTTCTGGAGGTGTGTGGCTCGCTTTTCTGTCTACAAGTATTACGTTTTTGCCCGCTTTTGATCTGCTGCTGCTGGATGGTCTCAGTATCCCCTATCTGTAAAATGGGCGCAAAGTTTTCCAGAACTGTGCCCTGATTGGCAAAGGTTCTTCAAGCGCCTAGGCCAGTGGTGGCGAACCTTTTAGAGACCGAGTGCCCAAACTGCAACTCAAAACCCACTTATTTATCACCGGGTGCCAGGTGGGCATGGCCCACTGGGTGGGCATGGCTGTGGACATCGCAAACTGGGTGGGTGTGGCCAAGGTGGGCATGATCACCTCGATGTTGCTCGTGGGGAGGGACGCCTGTGGGGGCCGGGAAAGGTTAGGGGAGATCCAGGGGGTCTCCGGCTGATGGGGCGGTGGGCAGGAGGCTCGTCCTGCGGAGTGAGGCGAGGCAAGACGAGGCAGGGGTGCCATTGTCACAGGGCAAGGCGAGGCAGGTGCCAGGGCGGCTGCTCCCTGACCCCATCGGCCCCCGCACACAGAGGCCAGCGAGCGCATGGGGGCTGACAGTGTCCATCAGCAGCCACAGCCTGCTGGTCCCTCGATCCCGCACTCTGGGGCTCTGCAGCCTGCCGCCAGTTCAGAGAAGCCGCCTCTGAGCTAGATGGATGGCCGACAGCTGAGGAGGCGATGCAGTGGGTCGTGCCTGGGAAAAGGAGAGCATGTGAGGCCAGGAGGGATGGGACGGGGGGGAGGGAAACCAGCCGTGGTGGGATGCATTCGGCCACGTGGGACCTTGGCAAGTTAGCGGGCGGCTGGTTGAAGAGGGACGGTTGCCATCTCTGGGGCATGGTGCGTGTGCCCACAGAGAGGGCTCTGAGTGCCGCCTCTGGCACGCGTGCCATAGGTTCGCCACCACCGTCCTAGGCAAATTCCTGGCATAAAAATCAATGTTTTAATCCCTCATGTGCACAGTGGACATTATCGTCAGGTGATGTATGAAGGCAGCCACCCCCCAACCTTCTTGATTTAAAATCTAAACAAACAGGTTGACAAAATGCCCGTATCCAGGACCCTTTGACCTGGCGTGTTCTCAAGTCCTGGAGCAGGTTATCGAGAGAGGCACGTTGCAATCTTTGAGTGTTGTTTCTCCCCCCCCCCATTCCGAATACCTTTAAAGAGGTATTGAACTTCCCAGTAAGGTCCCATTACTCCTTTTTTGAAATAGAAAATCACCTCACAGGAAAATAAATGGGGGGGGGGGGCTAATTCGGGCCAGCATGCCCCAAAATGTACACTTTATCATTATTTCTAGCCGCACATCTTCTGCTAATCCATCTCCAGATGAACCTTCGCTAAAGCTTTGGTGTTTATCAGTTCTCCACCATCAATCAGAGACTTGAAACTGGGCCAGTAGTTCAGGAAGACTAATCTTAGAGGTTTTCATTTCTCCCTCTAGACTCTTACAAGGGTAGAAAAGTTAACTCTTCACTTCTGCACTGTGCATGGTCCAGCAAAGTTCTCTGCATGATTATTACCATTAAATCCATTAACGTGGAAACACAACAACTTACTGTAGCATGGAGGGTTTTTAACATGCTCCCTTGCTTGCTTCCCTAGCCAGCTTGAAACCTGCAGGCAGCCCTGCAAACCTGTTCAACAGGTATGTAAATTGTCACTTCAGGTTTGACTTTCTACCTTATGCCTAAAGGAGCCCTGTTGCAATGAAGAAAGGATTTGTTATATTGTCTGTCTGCTTTAAACAGGTTTTATGAGTGATCCTGCTATATTTCTTCTTTCAAGGATTGATGTAGCACTGTTTGACAGCCAGAGAAATCTTCCCAAGGGGAGAAGATTCCTAGTTATTCTTGGCTTTTTAGCTGAAGTCAACTAACAAGCCAGAATGCTGCATCATCTGAATGTTATTTTGGAAGAAAAGTGTTTTGAATATACAGACTACAGTAGTGGCCAAAATTGGGGAAACCTTTTGGGAAAAGTGCACAGTAGAAATGCCACCTTTGGTTAGGTTTCCACCCATTTTTCTTCTAATTTTTTTTATAACTGTAGCCTTGTTCGCTTAACAATGCTATTTTACATCGCTTTCTGGGCAACCGGTCAACTCTTTGCACCATTACTTTAATTTTATCACGTTTTACAAGCTCACTTAGTGAAAGAACACAAAAAAACCCAGCCAACTTGATAGCGATCACATAACACACTGACAAATGTTCTCCTCTCAGCTTCAGTACATGACATCAATAACTGGATCCTACTGTGATCTGATTGGCTCATGGCCAAAACAAGATGACACCCGATTGCCTCTCTAAACACTCGTGTTCATTGGCTACAATCGGATGAAGGAAAGCTACCTGATATCAACCGAAGCAAGTTGTCCTTTTTCTGGTTATTTGGCTATAACTGTTCATAGAATACAGTACAGATAATTGAACAAACTTTGTTGCATTACATTCTTGATTACCTTTCCATTAATGTATAATTTTATGGTACTACTCCAAAAAAAGGGGTGTTATTAGCCATCAAACCTCAAAAACACACTTTTCCCAAAAGGTTTCCACAATTTTGGCCACTACTGTATCTTGTCACCTTGAAGAATTCTGCCACTTGGGAATATTAATCATCATTTGACGTGGGTCTCCTTTCGGGTAAGCGATCTGAGGCCATTCCGGATCTCAGGTCCATGATCAACCCCTTGTTTGAATTCAAAAGAGGCCAATAGACATGACCACTGAAGCAAAGACTAGGATAGAGAAAGCTCAAACAGCATTCTTCAAAATGAAAAAGGTCTTCTGCAGTCACGACATAAGCCTAAGACTGAAAATCAGGCTTGTCAGATGCTATATTTGTGCTATCCTGCTCTATGGAGTAGAGAGTTGGTCTCTTTGACAGAAGGCCACCTGAAGAGACTAGAAGCATTGGAAATGTGGATTTACAGGCGGCTGTTACGTAGAAGCTGGGTTGACAAGATCAGAAATGAGGAGGGGATAAGCCGCCTGGGAAAGCCAAGGGAAATCATCAAAACAATTAAAAAACGAAAATTAGAATATTTCGGACATGTGATGCGACACCCAGAAAAACACGGCATACTCCATTTAATCCTCCAGGGAAAGACGGAAGGCAAATGAGGTCCAGGCAGAAGAAGAACATCGTGGCTTCAAAATCTAAGGGACTGGTTTGGACAAAACTCAGCAGCGCTTTTTCGTGCGGCTGCTGATAAAAACAGGATCGCCAACATGATCGCCAACGTCCGATAACGGATATGGCACAAGAAGAAGAAAGCACTCCCCAAACATTTCTACCTTGCTAGCTTGCCAGTTTGGCTCAGTTATTGCCGGCCTCATATCCAGATTTTTGTTGCTGTGTAATCGTTCTTTGCAGGACACGGATTGGAAAGCATGAATGAAATTGAGAAATGGCTGTCTGCGCCAAAGGATCATTGCTTCATCTCAATCATTCTAACCATGAAACCAGATTTTCTTGGAAAGGCAATCCTATTTATACGGGGAGACTCCTCCTTTTCTTTCCATACATAATGACACCTTGTTAAATAGCTCATCCTAGATAGAAATTCTTGCAACCGATAGCTAGTTTTGCTATGAGAAATACCAGGCACATCTTATGCATAATATCCCTCTGAAACACACCAAAGAATGAGCCAGCATTAGGCGCAGGAATGATGAAGATTAAAAAGCTAACCATGATATTCTCCCAAACCATCCTTATGAATTCTGCCTCATCTGCGACTCTCACACCAGAAAGCTGACTGGGCAGGATGTCCCAGTTAATTATGAAAATATTTTGAATAGGTCTAGATTTCCCAAGCAAACACAGCCCAGAGCACCAGGGGAGGCCTGTTATTTAAGTGTCATTTCTGGATGGAAACAGACCTTTCAAATGCTCTTATTTCCGGCTTCCACTTAGCTGTACTCTCAGCACCGGAAATGCCTTTCTATTAAAGCAACAGAACCCAATTTACCTTTGCACATTCTTTAATCCCACAATGTTCAAGAAAATACATCCCCTCTTATGTATTTTTTTTTTTTTTAAATCCGAATGGTAGCCGTGTCTGAAATTGAGGCACGATTGCAGAAATTAAAAAGAGCAGATATCTGGATTCTACCAGTTAGGCTTCCTTTCCTCTTGGTTAAAATTTTAGGAATTCAATAACTTTTGACATTCCTTCATTCATCTAGAAGCCAGTGCCTGATTCCAGAGCCCTTATCAGAAAACATTTCTGAGATTAGGTAGTTCTCTGAATTTAGGATGCGCCTACACTAAAAGTTAGATGTCAGCTATCAAAGGTCAGCAACCTAGCAGTTAGGAAAGATCAAACACTAATAGTATTTGGTCAAAATTCAACAGGCTTTGAAAGTTCCTCTTTATCATTTTTTTTTTTTTTAAAGTTTCTACGGCTGCCCCTCTTAAACAACTCTGGGTGACTCATGTTGCTCTTCCTATTTCTAATTTACTACACCACACTAGCCTTCACATCCCAGTTTTTCATCACCAGTAGATAATCTGGGAGGTCTTGGAGAGTTTTGTTTTTATTCTACATTCTTTGCTTTGTTCTTATGCCTGGGAAAAAGAGTCAGACACAGCCACAAACTTTGCCCTAAACACAAACTAACCAGCAGGCAAGCAATTTTGAGAGAAATTCCTGATTTAATATAGTGACCGTATAGCATGGGGGTTAAACCCTACATCCAGGTTCTCCAAAGTGAGAAGAGTTTGAGGACTCTGACCTACATCAACAGATACACCCACCAACGTTTGCTGACAGATAAGATTTAGCATCCGAATGCCACTGAAGAAACAATAAAGGAGAATATTTGTAGCTCAGGGTTGACATGAGGGGTCCTTGATGCTCTCTGAACTTGCTTGTTTTCTTGCAGACGTTGCATTACCCAAACTAGGAAACATCATCAGTGTTAGAAAGGAGAGGGAGAAGGGGAGGAGGAGGAGGAGGAGGAGGAGGAGGAGGAGGAGGAAGAGGAGGAGAGCTGTGGGCTTCTTGGTGTTCTCTGAGCTTGCTTGTTTTCTTGCAGATGTTTCATTACCCAAACTAGGTAACATCATGTAGTTCTGATGATGTTACCTAGTTTGGGTAATGAAACATTTGCAAGAAAACAAGCAAACTCAGAGAGCACAAGGACCCCTCACTGAACAAACAGCTGTTGAAGTTTCAAAAGTCCAAAAGGAGCATCAGTGGGTCTATCTTTACACATCCTGGTCTCAGTCTTGCAAGCTGGGATCAGCTTGTAGTCTTTTCCAAAGCTGCTAAGTTTATCCTGTTCTTGGTGCTGGTTTGTCGAACCTCTAAGCGTGCAAGCAGGAACAAGAACATGGGGAAGGATCTAGGCCTGGCTGGAGACATTTGTTGCCTGAGGCAAAGGACACAATAGCAGCCTTTTCTATTGTGTATAAAAACTAGCAGCTTTCTCCAATCTTGGCACAGGTCCCTCACCACACCTTAAAGAACAAACTGCAGGGAGAGCTGTAGGCAAGCAGTTCTTTACCTCCTCGCTGCTCTGTTATTCTGCCTAATGGGTAAAAGCCAATCTAATTTCTCTCCGATTCCTTCTGGGCAATGCTGAAAACTGGATTCCTAAACCTACTTTGCAAGGGGATCCACCGACAGCATCTTACCTGAGAATACACCCTCCCCTCCTCGCCCAAACTGAAACCAGGCAGAGCAAACACATCCAAGATGACAGAACGCTGGCAAGGGGACATTTCAAACAACCTCAGCAAGAAAATAATTCCTCCCAAGATCCTAAGTGAACAGGTCTATTTGTAACACCCGTTCTTCCTGGAACAACACCCCGTGCACGCTTTGTCTCCTCCTGCAGCAGTGATTAAGAAGCGGGCTCAGACAGTTGACTGGAAAAATTCCAGGAAAAACACGAAGGAAATACGAAGAGGGTTCTACAACGGTTGCACTACAGACCCCTGGCCAGCTAGGATGAGACAGACAATTGCAAACACTTCTAGCCCAGGGCATTATATAGGTAAAGGCTGCCCAACTTATTCTAGCACAGCACTATCAGTATTGGCTTGTATCGGCTAGGTCTGGATAATCTTTCCCAGACCGAGGTGGGATTGAAGTTGAAACTTTTGGGGAGGAGAAATAAAGCTGGTACCCCTGAACCACCTTAGCAACAAGTTTGTTCACGCCTCCCCTCCTTACCCAAAGGTAAAAAGCTTGCTTTTGTTCAGCCCAACAAGGGCGGGAAGAAAAAGCAGGCATCGAAAACAATGGGAGACCATGCAAAGGGGGGGGGGGAGAAATCTGGATATTTTCACCCCTATGGGGTGAAAAAGATCAATACCAGAGGGAATCTAATCCTTAAATTCCAGAGCACTTAAAAGCAAAACAGAGGCTTTTAAGCTTCGCTGGAAGTGACTAATATCGATTCTAAAGGTCGGCGCTGCCAAGTTCAACAGGAAGGGTCAAAAAGCAACTAAGACGCAGTTCGAGACCCAGCTTTTAGGCTGGGCTTGCCCGGGCAAAACTGAGCTTGAATGGGAGATGGTAGAAAAGGGAAATGCTCCAGAATTGGGGCGGGGGGGGGAAAGGTTTGTTCCCAGCGACAAGGGCGGGGCGGGGAGATCCCCGGGTGTGGAGGGTCCCCACGTCTCCCTCAAGCAAGAGCAGAGAAAGAGAACTGGAAGGACCGGGGCTCCTGCCGCGCCCCAACTTTCCTTTCCCTCCCCCTCCCCTCTCGCACACCCCCTCCCCGCAGCTTCCCCTGGCAGCCCCCGCGGGGAAACAAGAGAGGCGCGCCCCCCCCCCAGTTGGACTCCCCAGCCCATCCTCCTTGGCCGCACGACCTGGCAGCCGGAGCTCCAGCGACCCGGTGGGGGGCGCCAGCTTGCAGAAGGCGGTCCCACCCTTCCCCCGCCTTTCTAGGGCAGAAGTCAGCCTACGCCGCCTGCTCCCCCCCCCCATTTGCTCGCTCGACTCTGCAACTATCGAGAAACAGGGGGGCCAAATTTCCCCCTCCCCCCCAAAAAAACCCCTCCCACTTCTGGCTTATTTGAAGCCCCCCCGCCCGGTGCCTGCCCGATGCTCCGGAGCCCCCGCCGGACTCACCCCGCCGCCGGAGAAGTCCCAGCCCCGAAGAGTTGTAAAAACTACAGGCGCTGTTTCCGCCCGGCTGCTGCGCCTGCGCGTTTTCCCCTTGGGTACAAGGATAGGTTGGAGGCGCCGAGTGGCTTCCTGGGAGATGTAGTCCGCCATTGATCTCCGGCTGTAGTCCGTTCGAGCCGGGCGGGATCTTTGCAAAGAGACGGGGCGCGGGGAGGGTTGGTTGTTTTTTTTTCCCCCCCTTTCATCGCAGCTTTTTCTTGTTTTAACGGTAGTGGCCGCCGGGTGCGAGGAGGCGCTCTGCTTCTACAAGCCTCCGTCGGGCTGGCCGGGGATGATGGGAGCTGTAGCCCCAACCCATCTGGAGCCACTGGGTTGGGAAAGGGGCCCAGGGGTAGGCAAGCTTGGCTCTTTTATGACTCGTGGACTTCAACTCCCAGAATTCCTGAGCCAGCCAAGCTGGCTCAGGAATTCTGGGAGTTGAAGTCCACGAGTCATAAAAGAGCCAAGCTTGCCTACCCCTGGGGAAAGGCAGTTGCACCATGTTGAATCTGCTTATCTTCCTGTGACGCTGCCAAGGAAAAACCAGATTCACGTCGTGGAAATATAGCAGTTGCGTTTCCCCCTCAAGAATGACTTGCAACTAGTAATGACAAGCTGACTTCACGTGTTCCCCCTTCCCTCCCCATTTCGTGCCACAGGCAGGCTTCATCAAAAACCTTGTGGTTGCCTTTACCCCAGAGATCAGCTTGGTTATTTTTTAGTCTTCCTCATTTAGTCCCCTTGACTAGCACTGATGATATTACCTAGTTGGGTAGTGAAACGCCTGCAAGAAAACAAGCTCGGGGGGGACCCCTCATTTCGACTTTGAGCTACAAATATTCTCCCGTATGGCAGGGGTCCCCAACCTTGGGCGCTTTATGACTTGTGGACTTCAATTCCCAGAATTCCTCAGCCAGTGAAGTCCAAAAATCATAAAGTGCCCAAGGTTGGGGACCCCTGCCTTAATGGAATCTTCCTTGTCGTTAGTTGTGTGCAGTTTAGCATGTTGTGCAAACCTGGCTTGCAGCTCGTTCAGAGTTTGTGGTCCCACGTAGTGTGCAAATTCCAAAAATGGGTCCAGTAACCAGGCAACCCTCATGGCGATGGGGCTTGCACATCCTAATGATGCTATGAGCAGTTCCATTAGGAAGCCCGCTTTCCAAATGGTCACTAATGAGGAATTGGACTAAGTACGGTCCGTTGGCCACCCATGCTATCTTTTGCCAAGACAAGCAAATAGACACTCACAACCAAGTCAATGTTAATCTGTTCATCAAATGCCTTCCAATCTGGGGGACTCATCTTCCAGGAAGTACCATATTAGGAAAGAACAGAGGCAACAACAGGTATTTCTGGTGTTTATCATCATCATCATCATCATCATCATCATCATCATCATCATCATTTTAGCCATTGTTTGTCCACTGCTGGATAGAGGCCTCTTCTGCATATTTCTAACCAATGCGGCCCTGAACTTTCTTTTGCCAACTGGGTCCAGAATATTTGCTGATGCCGTCACTCCATCTTGTTTTAGGTCTCTTTCGTGGATGCTTTTGATCAAGTGGGATCCATTCTATGACTGCCTTGGTCCACCTGCCCTCAGTTCTTCTTGCGATGTGACCAGCCCGTTTCCATTTCAATTCTTTTCCATTCTCTCTTGATGATATTGTATACTTTTGTTTGTTCTATAATCCATGTGCGGGTCTTTCTGTCTTGTCTTATGCTGAGCACATATCTTTCCTTGGCTCTTTGTGTCACTTGCAGGGCTTTTTTTGTCATAGCATGCCCAGAACGGAGTTCCGGCACCTTTTTTGGATGGAACCTTGTAGGGTAGGCAAGGCGGGGTTGTATGACGTGTGTGAGTTCCAGCACCTTTTTTTTTTTTTTTTTTTTTTACAAAGAAAGCACTGGTCACTTGTAGCTTTTATATCGGCTGTGAGATTAGTATCCATGTTTCACCAACATATGCTAGAGCAGGTGGCACACACACCGATTGAAGGTGTTTATGATACGGCTGGATTAAAGCCTAAAGATCATCCAGCTGCTGATGTGTTCGGAGGCGAAAAGCAAGTTTGATGCTACAAAGTTATGTATATAGTTGCTATATGGAACATCAGAGCACAACTGGACAATTAGCTGCTCATGAGTATGCAAATCACAACACATTTCCATCCAAGATTATTTGGATGTTGGTCTCATTTTCTTCAACAGAAGTGACTTTGAGTATAGGCAATGGGTTGCAATTTAAGCTGACTATTCCAGGTTTTTTTCCCTTTTGGTGCAGTTGTGTCTGATTCTCAGAGGCTACCTTGATAAGTCCCTGCAGTTTTCTTGATAAGCTTTTTCCAAAAGTAGTTTGCCATTGCCTCCTTCCTAGGACTGAGGGAAAGGGACTGGCCCAAGATCACCCCGCTGACTTTGTGCTTACGGCGTGACTAGAACTCAGGGTCTCCCGATTTTTGGCCTGGTGCCCTCAGCACTAAATCAAACTGACTCTCTTTGACACCTGCATACACGGGTGCCATATTCGGTGCAAATAGTCTAACTAAGCAGTTAAGAAATCATTCCAAGATCTGTTTCAGTGTTAGGGTCTTACATACACACATTCTCAGAGGAAGTAACTTCAACAGAGGAAACCAATAGAAAAGAAGGGATAAGATCAATTTTAAGAGAAGAAACGGGAGAGAAACATCAGCCTGGCTCTCAACATTCTACATATATTTACCGCTAAATAAATCTCAGTGGTTTGGTCCATACATTGCGTTATCAACCATTGTTTACAACCCACCGTGGCTCAATTTATACAACACATTAAACCAAAGCCCAGAGTGAAAGACAAAGCTCTCTGGGGGCTCTTTTTTTGTTGTTGTTGTTGTTGTTCATGCATTAAGCATCTCTGCACTTTTTCTGCCGCTGAGCAGCTTGGACAGTGTAATGATTGTGTGAGTTTCACTTGAAAATGAGAGTGAGCAGGGTGAGAACACTTGGCACGCTGCCTCTGGCATAAGTGAAGGGGGACCTTTGTGTGTTCAGAGGGTGGCTGCCATTGTGTGGAAGTCCATTAGAATTCAGTAGGGCTTCTTAATGGGCTAATATTTTCAGCCAAGGTTCCAACAGAGCTGAAAATAAACAGGTCCTTCCCCAGAGGGAAAACTCAGCTTCTGAAAGGACGGAAGAAAGAAATTTAAAAGCTTTAGCAAGCCTGGAAAAAAATGCAGACTTTTTAAAACATCTGTGAGCTCATCGCTGTTCTAATGAGAAATGGGAACTGTTTGGGTAGTCCAAAAGACCAAATTAAATGTTTTCGTGGGAAATCTACTGCTGTGTGCGCATGCTATGTGCTGTAGCACCTGGGATCTGCAAAAAATGGTGCAGGATGTGAATGGTGCGAGCTTGGAAATGCTTCCAACTCAGGATTAGACCAATGCGTGGAGCATATCCTCACTGGAGGTCTATGCTAAGGTAGACAGTAAATATTATTTGGTTATTCATCACAAATCGGGGCTCAGACCTGGAAAGCACCATTCTCATAACAACAGAAAATAAAGGCGGGTGTCTTTCTCCTGCTTGATTTACGCAGCTAAAACCGATTTTAGGAAGGAGGTTTTTTTTACTGTTAGCTATAAAATTCCATCCTAAAATGATTTCTGTCAAGGAAGGAGACAGAATTAAATCAATTGCTCCAACAGGCAAAGCCTCATTCATCAGGCATAATTTTTGAGAAATGAGCCTCTCGTCTTTCGACAAGCAATCACAGAAACACTGTGGGAATTCAAACGTTGCACGACTAAAGCATGGATTCTTTAAACTGTGATGGTAGCTTCTGTATTTAGACAGACAGAGAAACATTGGGAGCTCTGCATAGGTGCTATTTAGTCAGCAGGAACCCAGAGCTGAGTGTATTTCGAGGTTCAAAGTGGACCAGTGGAGCTCAATTAAACCCAGCCTTTGATGACTGTGTGGTTTTTACAGCAGGGATAGAAATAAGATGAACGTCTTAGCATTAATCTTAGACGACGTGTTGCAAAATGCGTCTTATAATTAGCTTATTTATAATGCCTTGTTCTAAAGAGGCACCCTGTTTAATTAAATAAACGCATGGCTCATTATACTTCAATGATAGTGGAAGATCTAGTTTGATGTTTACCGGACTAGTTTTATGTATGATTATAGTTCCGGAAACACAAAGCTGCTAAGAGCTGGGCTTATCTTTCATCTGGTAAGTCCAAATGCCTTTGAATGTTGCTGCCCTACTACACTGGGAAATGTCTTGTGCATTTAAGAGATTGCTTCAAGGAATAGACAGAGGAGGTGACAGTTGGCTTCCTTCCGTGATTCAAATTGGTAGTAATAGACTTAGTTAACCATACATACCAACTATCTGGAGTAATACTCTTCCTTTAAATCAAAGTAGCCTATGCCAACTGGGTGTGATGGGAACAGGAATTCATCAACATCTATAATGATGATGTTGGTGATGATGGTGATGTTGGAAGGGATCTACTCAAGCAGGAAACCCTATACCATTTCAGACAAATAGCTGTCCAGTCTCTTCTTAAAAACTTCCAGTGCTGGAGCATTCACCACTTCTGGAGGCAGGTTGTTCCACTGATGAATTGTTCTCACCATCAGGAAGTTTCTCCTTAGTTCTGGGTTGCTTCTCTCTTGGGTTAGTTTCCATCCGTTGCTTCTTGACCTGCCTTCAGGGGCTTTGGAGAATAGCTTGACTCCACATGTTGCCCTGTGTTTTAGATGGTACTGTATTAGTAAAAACAAAGTATAACATCTCCTTTGAGTTGAGCTTAACTCCTGGTGACTGTGGATACATTCTCGTCACTTTTAGAAGTAGTTTGCCGTTGCCTTGAGGGGGGTTGTTTTCAATTTTTCAGGAGGACAGTTCTGGGATTTCTGTAACTACTAACCAGTTCCAATCCAAGTCAGCTTTTAGAGAACTGTCAGAGTCAGCTAAATATTGCTTCTTCGCTTCACATGTTGGAAAGCCTACTTTGCTGTGTTAACAAAGGC